GTGGGCATGGTGGTGTTGGGTTGACGGTTGGACTTGATGATCTTAGAGGTCTTTTCCAACCTTAATGATTCTATGATTCCATGATTATTTTCCAAGGGGTATGCCCAGTCTAGCGGTGGTTTTTATATTGCAGCAATGTATGAGGTCCGAAAAGCAGAGCCCCGGTCCAGGCCTGGATTGTAGTGCACCCATTCTAAAAACACCCCTCCCGCTCCATCATGATCTTGGTGTGCGGCCGAAAGAGATGAACAGCGGACTAAAGAAAGGAGGGGTGATGGTCCCTCACTTTACAAAAGGGAAAGAGAGGTGGGGAAAAACAAAACGGTCAAGACTTTTGATTTTGTGTGACCTACAGAGGACGGCTCAATGATGCTGTTGCCAGTGACTGTCACTGTAGGAAGAGTGAAAGTGATGAGCACGGACTGTGCTGAAGAACTGCCACGCGATCAGGAGAACAGCCCAGAGAAGGATCCAGGGATCTCCGGCTCAGGGATCGTGTAACTCAAGGTGCTAGAAGCAATAACTAGAGCAGAAACGTTTGTCTGTCTGGTTTTCTGTGAAGATTAGATGGCCAATATTTACACAGCACTGGAAATGGAAAATGTGAATTATTTTTGTTGTGCTATGCACCATTAGCATTTTGCATCCTTGGTGGAAACTAGGAAAGGGCAGCCTTTGGATGCCATTGCTCTCACAGTGGTGACTAAGAATGGACTAAAGCCAACAGAAACAAAAGGAAAGCCAAAGACTTAGGTGTTTCTGAAGAAAGTGGGTTTTTTTTTTTGTCAGCCTAGCATATGGAGCTGGTTCCTTCATGGAGGCGAGCTGGCCTGCTGCCAGTGAAGGCAGCTGATTTTAAACAGCTGAAGCCTGCAGGAGGGAGGCTGAAGTGGGAACTGTGTAATGCTGGTTTTCCCCAGGCTTGAGTCTTCACCTGAGCCCTCTGCTCACTCGCAGGAAACCTGCTGGGGGGGAGGCTTCAAGGCAGTTCTCCTTTCTTGCATTAATGCCAAGCTGGCCATCTTAGCCCATAACACAACATGTCTTAGCCCTTCGCAACACTTCTATGGTATGTTCATTTTCAGGAACACGGGCAAAACCATTTCTTCATGGCCAGTAAGCCATCCCCAACTTTCTCTCAATAGATCCCACATCGTATTGACGGGAAGTCCTCCATTACAGGAACTAGTCTGGACACTGGTACGGCCTTTCGCCACTTTATCCAAATTGCCTGGTCTTTTTTTATATTAACAGCATACTTACCAGTGACTCATCTCGTTGCCCTTATTTTACATGCTCCCTCAAGATTGCTCAGGGCTGTGTCCTTATTTTACTGCTGCTTGCCGAAGAGCTTTTCCAAAGAGCGCTGAGCACAGGAGAACATTTTCTAAGCAGAGCCTTCCCCTGCCCCCCCTGCATCACCACCGCTAGGAGCTGCCTGGGGAGGCTGGGCTCTGCAAGTCATCCGTACCCTGGTTTTAAACATCACCTCCTCTGCAGGGGAGGAAGACCAGCTGTTCAGCAGCTATCCTGAGATCACCCTCAGCCCAAGCTTTGCTTGTGATGAAACTCTACTCTCTCTCTCTGTTTCCAAAAATCCAAATGTGGTCAATAAGTTTAGAAAGAGGAAAAGGAAATGGATGAAGAAGTCATGCCCACATCTGCTTTCTGGTTTAGCTCAGCTCTGAGGGATGTCTTTTTTCCCTGTGTATTGCCACTTATCAAGCTGATAGCATGTCTGCTCTTTTCTGAATGTCTCTGTTTTCCTTCGCTGTAGAGCATCTTTAACAGGAGGGGAGGGTGTGCTATGGGCATCTGTGCAACTGTAAAGCCCCAACATTCTCTGGAGCTGCCTTGTGATTTCGGTAGCTATAGCCCCCTGCTTTGCATCTGGACCTTTATGAACAATTGCTCAACTGGGAAGTTGTTTTTACCTTTTTGTTGAAGTATAATACACTTCCTGGCTTAATTTTTAGACA